CTCATCACCACCTCCTAAATTACAGTGTATTTCAATGTGCAATGGAGCATGGTCGGAAAATTCAACAAATTCGCAAACCATGAATTTTTTAACAACAGAAAACATACTAAATGGCATTAATACATAATCAATAACACTCATTCCATTTGCACCACAGAAAGTAAAATCACTAGATAGATTGGCTAGGTCTCTACCATTTAAAATTCTTAGACCCGAGGATTTACATAGGTTTAATAATCTTGTACCAAATTCGTTGACTCCTGGATCAGGGTTTGTTCTGATCGGCAGAAGCCTTTCTTCATCAGTGTCACTTAAGTAGTTAAAAATGGATTCAATATGAGACTGTATACCGCCATATAAATTGTCGAATGAAATAAAATCATCTGTATTACGGGTACGACTGTTTAAATCACCTATAACCATTACATTTCTGGATTCAGAATATTCACTTATAACGTTTTCTAGAATTGAAAAAATATCACAATCATATTGTTCATAAAAACGAGATGAACTAGGTGGAATATATGTAAATAACAGTATTAGGTTGTCAGTACAACTGGTCAAATCCTGGTCAAGAGTAACCGGTATAATTGTATCAAACAAAACATTACCTACATTTACAAATTTAAAAATAGTATTACGTATTAGTAACACCAATCCACCACCTTGTGTACAGCGTGTTAATTTCCTTGGTACAACAACTGCGTGAAAGTCCTCAAGTTCTACCTCAAAGCCTTTTGGAATCCAGCACTCGGATAAAAAAATAATATCATAGTTAAATATAACATTGCGGAATTCAGTAACTTTATTTTTTGTTCTATTCCACCATTTACGTTCCAGGAAATAATTCTGATATCGGTATCAGACACATGTTTCGCCCGGTCACAATTGGTACTGTCGTTGATTGTTACCCCCCGACACCCCTATGTAGGCGAGTGCGTAGGCGTAGCTGTGAATCGACGTTGACGCTTGGAATGGCGTTGACCAGAAGTCGGCGTCCGGTCCAAAGCATCACGGTAGGACTGCTGGGTAGCTTCTCTCTGTGTGAATCGAGATGTAGCTACTGTCTCTGTAACGCCCTCCGAGGAGGCGTCATGGTAGAGCTTACCATTAACGTAGAGCCGATCACGTACCAACTTAACCCTACAGCCTTCACTTATGTAGTGCTTAAGCACTGGGTACAACTTGCGACGTCTGTCCTCGATTTCCGCTGGAAATTGTTCGTTGATCCAAAATCCAGAACCCTTCAGTTTCGAAGAACTGTCTCGAACAAGTTCTAGGTCCTTGTGAACTTCACGCAGTTTGGCCTCAGTGTCCTCCCCTGGATTTTCCCCTTGTAGTCCATGGAATATGAGGTTGTTCTTCATGGACCTGTATTGCAGGTCTATGACAAGATCCTTCAGCTTAGTTCTCTCGGAACGGAGCTCTGTTAATTCTTCTATGACTTTTGTGGTGTCAACTACATTCTTGTCATCAGCAGCTTTGAGATTGGCCAGAGTAATGTTGTTTCGATCCAGACAAGACTTCACATCGTCATACATATCACTCAGGGCCTGGGCACCCTTTTCCATTTCATTGGACTGCCTGATAACATTGGACGAGGAATCGCGAATTTCCCTGTACTTAACGTCAATATTCTTCACCTCATGATCTAACTGATGGACTTTAGAGGTCAACGAGGTCACATCCTTCTTGACTTGATCAATCTTTATGACTTGGTTTTCAATGTGGGTAAGACGTGTATCTAGTCTATTAAAAAGTTCAGTCATGTGCTTCATAGCAGCCGTGGAATCCTCTGAAACACCTTCATATGTTACTTTATGTGCCTCACTAACAATGCTAGATGTACATGTAGATTGATGCTTGGTGGGGACAGTTTTTTTGGGGGCCATGGTGTAGAACATAGGGGTGTTCTGTGCCGTGCGGTACAGGTGTAGGTGTTTGGATTCAGTAATCTTAGTCTCTTATTTATTTTAGACAAGATGTCTATGAGGCGTCCTTTAAACTTATAAGTTTGATTGGTCTGAAGATTTTCATATGCTGTGTCTTGGAGTATGGTAGTCATGGTACTGTACATTTGTATCCGCTTAATTTTTCTTTGTTCTGTTGTCGGCATATTGTTTGTTTGTAATTCGGTACATTTCAAAACCTCGGTCATCTTATATCTAAACTTCAGTATATAGCTGTTTACTACCGAGCACAGTAAATATATGACCAAGTACTAAACACTATGGTCATTTTGCGTATATTAACACCTTATTGTACCTGCGCATTACTGGTCATGTGTGATGAAGGTGACAGAGATATATCGCACTAGTCATCAAAACATCACACACAATTTTACTGGTTATGCTACATGAACTTGCATATATCTATAATTTCAATTGATTAACAAGAATTTGTGATTAATAGGTACGAATGATTCATGAACTTAAAATTAGTTTCATTCAAAGAGAAAGTATGTCCATATTTTTATTTTTAGATATCAGAAACAAAATGTCCTTGTCATGAAGATGTATTATCTTCTTTATCCATTCGCGTTATACATTTTAATGCATAAAGTTGTTGTTAGAACTGGTAGGTTATATTTGAAACAATCGAAAAACGAATGAAAGTAATAATAAAGATTTTTCTTTGTACTCTTAATCGTAAAGATGACTTTTAACCTTTAATGGAAATGCTTATACCATAAATCGTTAAAGCTAATTCAATTTAATTGGTACTTAACTGCTGTAAAAATCAATTGAGAATCTGACCACAATAATGATGATGATGATAAATGAATGACGTAACGATTATCTTGGCCTGGCATGTATACAAAAATGTTAAAGTATGAACTTGTATAGGCTACCGTTGAAACTAACATTCGTTCAAGCTACCTCTGTACTTAACTTTCAATGAAGTTTAAATTAAATCTTACTACATATGAGATCACCAGAACGAAGACAATTTCTGTTTACAGTAATAGACACCTTCATCCTGGGTAAAATGCTGAAACGAAAACTCGCTAAAGCTACCTTACATTCATTTAAAGTCTTATAAAGTTAAGGGAAATCCTGCCACAAATAAAATGATAAGAGCAGTAATACAGTCTTATGCCCTGCTTGTAATTAGGTACAAATGTTTAAGCAGTAAATATGCTGCAGCTACAATTCGTATTTATTCTCTGTATGGAATTTATTAGGAAAAAAACACCAAGAGGAACCGAAGTGTCACCAAAACCATGATTAGAATTAAACATCGATAAAACGGAGGCAAAATATGAACAAAGATAAGATTTCGTGGAGTACCATGCAAAAGTATAAATTGAAAATAATAATGTCTTTCGGAAGGTTGAACGCGTCTTCTGCTTCTAAGTCGAACCAAGTAATGACACGCGATCACATCGAGAACTTGAATAGTGACAACAAAACCATAAGGCACTCTCATGAGCATAATGAAAAAAAAAACATCGACCTGCATATCACACAACATCCTCAATACTCCAGCAGTTCCTCTCACTTTCGCCCTCTACACCTGTCGTAGAAAAATTGAAGGCACGTGGCTGGCTATTTGATTGGTCTCAGGTTAAAAAAAACCTGACCAATCGCGAGGTAGATGCCTTTGAAGATAACAAATGAGCAACAACCGACTTCAAAGCCAGTCTATTGTATCGTTACACGACATATCCCAGGGTTAGTGAGCGTAGCCTCTGGAGAGTCGAGGATGATCACGCAAAGAAAGAGCATATTTCCCTGCGACATCCTGATGGCGACCATAACACTTGTCAATAGTCTTCATCAACCTGCGTCTGTGGACACCCTGTGTTGTAGATTTTTCCGTCTGTGGACACCCTGTGTTGTAGATTTTTCCGTCTGTGGTCACCCTGTGTTATAGATTTTTCCGTCTGTGGACACCCTGTGTTGTAGGTTTTTCCGTTTGTGGACACCCTGTTTTGTAGATTTTTCCGTCTGTGGACACCCCGTGTTGGAGGTTTTTCCGTCTGTGGACAACCTGTGTTGTAGATTTTTCCGTCTGTGGTCACCCTGTGTTTTAGATTTTTCCGTCTGTTGACACCCTGTGTTGTAGATTTTTCCGTCGGTGGACACCCTGTGTTGTAGGTTTTTCCGTGTGTGGCCACCCTGTGTTGTAAGTTTTCCGTCTGTGGACACCCTGTGTTGTTGTTGTAGATTTTTCCGTCTGTGGACAGCCTGGGTTGTAGATTTTTCAGTCTGTGGACACTCTGTGTTGTAGGTTTTTCCGTCTGTGGACACACTGTGTTGTAGGTTTGTCCGTCTGTGGACACACTGTGTTGTAGATTTTTCCGTCTGTGGTCACCCTGTGTTTTAGATTTTTCCGTCTGTTGACACCCTGTGTTGTAGATTTTTCCGTTTGTGGACACCCTGTGTTGTCGGTTTTTCCATCTGTTGACACCCTGTGTTGTAGATTTTTCCGTCTGTAGACACCCTGTGTTGTAGGTTTTTCCGTGTGTGGCCACCCTGTGTTGTAAGTTTTCCGTCTGTGGACACCCTGTGTTGTATGTTTTTCCGTCTGTGGACACCCTGTGTTGGAGTATCTTCCGTCTGTGGACACCCTGTGTTGTAAGTTTTTCCGTCTGTGGCCACCATGTGTTGTAGGTTTTTCCGTCTGTGGATGTGTTGTCGGTTTTTCCGTCTGTGGACACCCTGTGGTGTAGATTTTTCCGTCTGTGGACACCCCGTGTTGGAGGTTTTTCCGTCTGTGGACAACCTGTGTTGTAGATTTTTCCGTCTGTGGTCACCCTGTGTTATAGGTTTTTCCGTCTGTGGACACCCTGTCTTGTAGATTTTTCCGTCTGTGGACACCCTGTGGTGTAGATTTTTCCGTCTGTGGACACCCCGTGTTGGAGGTTTTTCCGTCTGTGGACAACCTGTGTTGTAGATTTTTCCGTCTGTGGTCACCCTGTGTTTTAGATTTTTCCGTCTGTTGACACCCTGTGTTGTAAGTTTTTTCCGTCTGTGGAAATCGTGTGTTGTAAGTTTTTCCGTCTGTGGACACCATGTGTTGTAGATTTTTTCCGTCTGTGGCCCCCCTGTGTTGTAGATTTTTCTACTGTGGCCACCCTGTGTTGTAGGTTTTTCCGTCTGGGGACACCCTGTGTTGTAAGTTTTTCCGTCTGTGGCCACCATGTGTTGTAGGTTTTTCCGTCTGTGGATGTGTTGTCGGTTTTTCCGTCTGTGGACACCCTTTGTTGTAGATTTTTCCGTCTGTGGTCACCCTGTGTTATAGATTTTTCCGTCTGTGGGCACCCTGTGTTGTAGGTTTTTCCGTCTGTGACACCCTGTGTTGTAGATTTTTCCGTTTGTGGACAGCCTGTGTTGTAGATTTTTCAGTCTGTGGACACTCTGTGTTGTAGGTTTTTCCGTCTGTGGCCACCCTGTGTTGTAGGTTTTTCCGTCTGTTGACACCCTGTGTTGTAAGTTTTTTCCGTCTGTGGACACCCTGTGTTGGAGATTTTTCCGTCTGTGGACGCCCTGTGTTGTAGATTTTTCCGTCTGTGGTCACCCTGTGTTATAGGTTTTTCCGTCTGTGGACACCCTGTGGTGTAGATTTTTCCGTCTGTGGACACCCTGGGTTGTCGGTTTTTCCGTCTGTGGACACCCTGTGGTGTAAGTTTTCCGTCTGTGGACACCCTGTGTTGTCGGTTTTTTCGTCTGTGGGCACCCTGTGTTGTAGATTTTTTCCGTCAGTGGACCCCCTGTGTTGTAGATTTTTCTACTGTGGACTCCCTGTGTTGTAGGTTTTTCCGTCTGTTGACACCCTGTGTTGTAGATTTTTCCGTCTGTTGACACCCTGTGTTGTAAGTTTTTTCCGTCTGTGGAAATCGTG